GTGGCCTGAACATACCCCTGTTGCTGACTGATCTCATGGTCTCCAGCGTGCATGAAAAACCATAAAAAATAAAAAATAGGAAGCAACAACAACTAATGTTGAGGTTGCAATGACATTAATAGCACAACGAGTGAACCATGTACCGTTGAACACCAATACTGGCCATCATGGAGCATTCTAGACAGCACAAATTCAACTTGGTGTTTCCCCTAAAGTATCAGTGACATTATGTCATGACCCAAGGGTGGACCAAAGAACCAGATGAATCATCATTCATAATTCATAACATATATTCAGTGATAATCATTCCAACATGATCATTTGCAAGCACAAAAGAATAAGCAACATAGTAACACGCCATATTTATAACTATCCTTTATAGGAATTTGCAATCATAAAGGATTGACCCAACAAATGTGCACAAGATTTGTTCAAGGGCACATTGTGCATCATTAAGTATGATGATACCACAGAATGACACAACAATGGATATCATATTCTTAGCAGTACCAAAACAGGTGCCATTCGAAGCAGTACTTGTCCTTTCATTAATCTAAACTTACTGTTGAGACCATGTGGTTTCTCTTAAGATGGAAGATAAGTAACTTGAAACACTTGCTAACTTCCAAGAGCATCAACATGTAACATAAGAAAACTAGCTGTACCCCTGTTGACTGAAAAAATACCATAATTATGCAATTAATCACCATTCACACTATCCCAATGTTAGTGATATCATAGAGAGAGCCTCTGGAGCTGGTACCTACCAACAGTCATACATTGCTACATGTGCCCATCAGCTAAGGTGCACCTTCATATGTTCCTCCACAACCCAATTTGCAAAGGACTGGGTATACGCTGCACTGGACTTCAAAGCTGGGCCACCAGACCTCAAGGGCAAGAGGTATGCTCTTGTCACTGGTGATAATGAGGATGATGGGGATGGTCAAGATTATGAATCGTTTTTTAATTATGAATAATGATTAAATAATGACTGTCACTTATCAAATATGTTCTTGGCTGTACACACTATTAAGGTGGTGCGATATGTTGATAATCATGCTGTTGACAGCAAAAGAACCAAATCATAAAGATGATGTTGATGATGTTGGTGGTGTGCACCACTGGTGGCATCTAGACTGAATTCCCAACAGCCCATACGACTAATGCACACATCAATGAAAAAACAAAGGGTTTTAGCAAGAACAAACATATCATTCATTTAAATATATATGTGTATATCATGCAGTACATCAGGATATGCAGTCATAGCTTTGTGCAAAAGCACTATGGGTGAAGCAAGTAACACAAGCTACTGGGTATTGAACACAACAGTCTTCTGCGAGGCTTTATTAATGGTCTTCTTCACCATGCCATTGTCACCCCGTTCTTTGATCACCCTTCGCTTTTCAGGATCACAACGGGATTGCAACGTAGTGATCCATTTCCTAAGTTCATAGACCATGCATGGGATCAGCAATCCACAGGGACATATATTCACATTAAACCTATCCCATATAATCCATGGGTTCTTATTAGTGGGAAATATTGATCAACATGATATATATATATATATACATATATGTGTATATATATATATGTTTATTTGACAGACCATACATGGATATGGATCCTATATGATTTCAGTATATGGTGAAATAAATCATTCATCATGATGAATAAACGTATGTCTCTCAGGATCAACCAAAAAATATTGAGCAGTGAGTCCAACATATGCTCACAAGTTGGCACTTGACACGCAGACAAACTCTGAGCTTCCCACGGCGTCCCCACAAGGTAGGATGGTTTCAGGCTGAAGTGGTCAAAGTTGCACATCCAACTTGGACCAGTGAGTGGATAAGCCATTCAGAAATTTTATAGTCAACATTGATATCATGCATATGCATAAGACGCATGTTCCTGATAATGTAGAAGCATTCAGGCAAGGTACAACCTTTGGAAGATTGCACCATAGTGCTCCCAAATGAACTGCATATAAGGGAAGTACACCAGCTTGCTCCCCGAAGGTTGTTCAACCTGGCTTTGCAGAAATACAACCATCAAGCATTCCCCGAGCTCCGCACAAACATGAAAGTGGGGAACCATGCGCAATATAGGTCAGTTTAACAATCGCATAGGATCCATGTATGGCATATATACTAACATTAGGATGATATTAATGGCTAATAACGGCCAATGTTACCTATATATACTATACATGGATCCGATGGGAATACTAAGAAATGACAAACTAGGCAGTTGAGAAACCACATGGTGAGCTTTCAGAACATAGGCCACCAAGCATAGCAAAGCGAAACGGGTCGCTATGCAGTTTCCACAGGACACCATCTTCTCTCCTGAGCTGGGAAGACTGGAGGACCATGGGTTCCAGCCGGCAGGCATGAGTCAAAACTGTTTGAACATCTAGTATTCGTATAATCATTATTTGTTATCATTTTAAATCTGAGAACATGGTAAACTATGGTTATGTGATTCCACAACACCATCATAAATATCTAGCATGATCTTGATGATTCCCACACCACTGGGCTGATGATTGCTCACCATCACCCCTGCAATCTAATCACCAGTAATGAAATCAACCTAGGAACGGTCATCTCCAAGGATGCTGATGTGCCGTGAGTGGGTGAAGCTCGAAATCCATACCCAACTTGGTTGAGCAAAGCATGAGAGGATCAAACACCTATGCAAAAACAAAATCACAATATATCATGATCATGTCTTGGAATGCAAAATGAAACATCACTTGAACTCTAGATGCAACCCAAATACCTCGAACATGGCACCCCTGCAAACATCAGTGATCCTGGTGAAAGCCTTAGGGTTTCCTTCAGGGCAAACATGAACCCACCACACTCCAAGATGTTGTTGTCATCTCCTCGACCAAGGATGTCGTACCATTGCCTTAGCAAGATAACCAGTCTGGTATCATGGATGGATCTTGATATGTGGGACCAGTTGTACCCTCAACACCACGACTGCAGGACTCATGCTCCAGCTGGCAATGTTCCCAAACAAGGCCCGGACGATTTCAATCCGTGATCACCTGGGAAGTCAGTTGACAAGTGATACTGTATGTTTATCCAGAAATGTACATAGACATACATAGGTACAAATATAATAATAAACAAACAGTTTTCTTTATCTTTCAAGCATTGAGTCAATATAGGCGACTTGTAGGTTCCCAAGACGGTTGATGATGTGTGTAAAGATAACACCATTAAAAATATTAATATCAAATGGTTTACAAACAGTGAACCCTTCGTTGAGGTCATCATAATGAATAGTCCACCCCTGAGATCACGGAATGTTTGGGTGAGAACTGCTTCTCCACTGAATAGCTCCAACAGCTGGAGGTCCTTGGGCGTAGCTGGTTGGACTTGTTGTTAATCTATATATCTCACATAGTGATTTGCCAGCACACACACACATATATATATATAAGTATATGTAGATGAAGATATCAAACATGAATTTGTGCAATTATCATAAAAGTTGTGGCACATAGATGGGCAATAAGTTTATTGGTTGCTTTCTGCATGAACTTGAGAAGAACATTTTTTAATTATCATATAAACCATTTAATGTAGGACCTGAACACAAGGTAAGCGAACTGATTCACCAGGCCAAGGCCAGAACCCGTTCCCAGTTTGCACCAGCTCTGTGACCAAGTTGATGGATGAAATCGCACAAATGGATCCTGGGACACAACACAGAGCTATCAAAAAAAAACAAGCCTATGATCCATCATGTATTGAAAATCATGTTCATTTAGAACGTTATTCTTTTCTTAATGCTCATGCGAGGTTGGTACCGTCAGGCCTCATTCAGGGCACTGTCAAATGATCAAATGATATTGCAAGTTTGAAATGCAATTATTAATATTGATGTGCAACATCTTGCATCATATCCAACTATAATCATTGAACATATGGGTTAAAACATACACCACTTGATGCAAGATGTTGCCTATCAACATTAATATGAATACAGCTGTGTTTCCCTGGGCCCTAGAATCTCCCTCTACATCCCACTTTTGCTGTCTTGGCTCAGCAGGATGGGCGCTCCAAGCAATATGAGCAGGTGGCATTCACGGGCACTCAATTTCACCCCACGCATCTTTGGCGGCATGGGAGTTGGGCGTGTCACCCCTTGTGGGATTGAGCTGGAAAAACTAAGTGGTCACATGAGAAATGGTTGAATGTTTCAATGCAACTCTTCAGAGCCCAATGCATCAAGCTAGAATGATTGTTGCCTAGGTGTTGCCTAGAATAAAGCAACCAAATACCATCATTCAAATAGAACCCACGATACTGCATTAATCCAGATACTGTATTAGTTAATGACTCATCCATATATGGATCCCCAGATATGGTATATGATAACTTATAAAGGATACAAACGTTAATAACATCATGGTAGTCATGACCAATGTTGGTATATCCATTGTGCCTATACACAGGTTACACCACTTATCATCCGGCATGATGCATTGAGCCTAGCAAACTCAAAGGACTTTTTTTCAAACCCCTGATTTGGCCGCACTACACACACTATGGTTCAGTGTGGAAAGGAAGTGCATTGCCTCCGTGACATGTTTTTTTTGCAGCTTCGGGTCACTCCCAATCAGTTTATGGCACTAACCAGCTTGAAACCATGCATTTGTGTTGAAGAAGATTTGATACCAATACTTGGAATCCAACATTGACCCTGCCATGCTGCACCCCTACCACCCTGCCACCTTTGTGGCAAGTGACCAAGAAAGGGTCCATCCCTTATGCTTAAGCACAGAGATCGTCACCCCGCCTTTGCCATTGCTCTTGACCTTGTCATCAAGGAGGGATTGAAAGCCATTGCAGTAGATCTGGTTGGTGTACCACCTGAGCAACGCAGTTTGGGGTTCTTGTGTTGGGGATTGATAGTACAATTCAATATTCACATATATCCTAAAATCATCTAATACTATAACCATTAATGGCTCAATCATGATAAACTATGAATTCCTTAGAATGCAAAGACCAATCCAATACTGTGGGTGATGATATGGTGATGTGCTTGATCTGCCAAAGACCAAATGAAATGTAGAGGGATGTAAGGTCAGGACAGGATCTGGATGCTATGTGCATCCTCCTTGGCTGCGTCTGGCGACACTGTAAAGCTCTTGGTGGTTGGCTGATAGCCATCAGGAATGGGAATGCCAGCTTCGCGGAGTGCTTTCTCCTGACCACAGAATTGGGAGGAGGAATATGTACATAACAGCAATGCAGGTGAACATTGAGAATGCTAAGGCGAGCTAAGGATATTTACCCAAACCGGGCCAAAGCTATACATCATCTTTAGAGAAGCAAGACAATTAAAGAAAGCCAACAGCAAAGAATGACAAAATTAAGAGTGAGGAAACTGGGTTCCCCGACCTTCTCCCCCCAGGCACTGGTGAGGATTTCCTTTGGAGTCTCCTTCCTTGGGCCACGCACCTTCTTTGGCTTAGCTGGTTCAGCCTGTTCCTCATCCTTTGGTGCATCAGCGGTTGCTTCAGCATCATGATCCGTTGGTGCATCAGCGGTTGCTTCAGCTTTGTCACTAGCACCAGTAGCTGTTTCAACCTTCTCAGTACCCGTGTTCAGTTCACCTTTGTTTTCCTTCCCAACCTTTCCCTTTCCCTTTCCCTTTCCTTTGCCTTTTGCCCTAGGTCTCTTGGGCTGTTCACTACCCCCTTCACTTTCACAAGCTGGGCGCTTCACACCATTGACAGCTCGCAACACCTGCAACAAAGATATAGTGACTAAGTCACTGAATAGCAACACAGTTTCTGGCAACATTGGAAATGAAGGAAACCTTTGCTTGGATTTATGGGCCTTGTTTTGGGCTGCAATAAGATCTGGGTCTTGGGCATCAGAAGCTTGGATGTTAGTCACCAATGCCCGAGCATGCTCAGCCAACTCAGAGTCCACATGCATTGGGGCTGGAAGTAGAGGTTTCCGCTCCTGGGGTACAAACATGTTATACTGTCATTATCATGACAAAACCCTTTGGACATGGACACTCAGTTCTGAAGATGTCTGTCCTTCTCAGCTTGTCGTTGGGCAGCATTCCGGTCCAACAGCTCAGGACCAGACTCCTGAAGACACAGTAAGGCAACCACCCCCACCCCCACCCCCACCACCACCCCCACCCCACCACCACCACCACCACCACTACCACCACCACCACCACCACCACCTCGAAAGACATCCAGCATGATGACAAGAAGTTCAATGCACAATGATGCATTCTTAAATATATCTGTATTGGTAGAGGTTTGCAAAAAATACACATTCATATTATCACCCACAGCATTATTGTTATATATAGTTTTCCTGGTATATCGGTATATCTATTCAACTGATGATCATCATTGCTCAACGAACTTATGGTACACAATTAGGAAAGCTGATAATCATGATGATCTTGCCCAATGCTATACAGATTTGTTGGGGCAGTACGTTGAGGCACCTTGGCGGGTTCACCTTTTGGAGTGATGTCAGCCGGCACCTCCCGCATGTCAAACTGAGGTGCAAATTTTGAAAGGCGATGCTACAAAGGCAAGCCACAAGGCAGGACCACACCTGGAGGGTCTGGTCAGCAGCTGTTGGAGCATTGGGTTGGCACCTCACCACCTGCCAAAGAAGTCAAGGTCTGAAACAACCAAGGTTGGGTGCAATAAACCCATAGGATCCATGTATGGTGTACTTATATAATACCAATATTTGATACCACTATCATGGAAAATTAGTGGATAATCACAATACATGGATCCTATGGGATGTACAAATAGAAAATACAGATGATCAACTTACCATTGAGCCAATCCCAACTTTTCAACATTTAAGTTAAGCAATCATTGAACCGGACTTTATGCTCAGCTGGGTGTTCCCCATAACCAAGATTGGAGGGCCTCTGGCATCCCATCAGATGCAGAACTATCTGAAGCCACCATAGTGTCACATCCCTCCTGCATGCAAATAGTCATGCACAAGTGCATACTTTTTAAAAGGTCTGATGCCAAGAGATTAGCATACAAACTGGCTCCCGCACCGAATTGTCCAATTGGCGCTGAGCCATCATCATCGTAGTTTCCATAGATCCCGAGGGTGCAACTGCCAAGTGCCACATGAATTAGTGGTCAAGTTCCAATATCATCCAAGCATGTTTGTTTTGTTGCAAGGTAACCCAACCATCCAAAAAGAAAACTCATTTGTGCTTATGGATCCATATAAACACTAGTGTAGGTCAGATGCTTGGATGAATTTGGAATATGAATGAATCAGGTATCCAAATCAAAGTGTGAAAAACATGGCCTGCCGCCATAGAATCATGAATGCACTTCTTGATCAACCGGATTTGCCAACACCTGCAATCAAAAAAATATCAGTACTAACACAATTTGCATTCATAAAGATATTTCAGAAGCAGATCATGTGTTAATGATTTCCAAATATATGGTTTACCAATTTAAAGGTTCCTTGAAGAAGCTGATCGGGATGCCAAGCTTAGCGCATCTAGGCCCAGACCACGTGCAAGCCCCCCTTGGTAGCCAGCCCAGTCCTGCCACAGGTAATCCAATAATTGAAGGTCATGGTCAATACAGTATTGGGGGAATGTCTTCAAAACACACTACTCTCATGTATACATACATATAAGGTTCAATCCACTAACTAAATAATTTTCGGTGAACAATATTACAATCACCATTTTCTCTAAGCATCAAATCATTGACACAAAAATATATATATATATATGATATATCATATTATCATCTTGGGTTGGTCCTTAATGGCCTTTTTCTTGGTGCCTTCACTGAAGATGCCGTAGGTCACAGCCAGCTTGTAGAACACTGCCTGAACAACACAATAGATCAGTATTATTAGAACATAATGGGGAAGCCCAGCATTACAGCAATGTATTAGATCTTCAAATGCAACACGCGCCCGATGGCCTTAAACGAACCATGTAGCGGAAGCGAAGGTGCACCAGCCATAGTTGCACAAAGGTCTAACACATACAGGTAGTTCTGTTCAACAGCTTGAGCGCTATCTGCCCCGGAACACCCCGACATGTCAAAGAAACTCTTCTTGGGGTCTTTCCTCAAGGCATGCAAGTCCTTGCTGAGGAAGTGCGATTGCAGCACATCCTGCAAAGGAAATAGAAATGTGTTGCTACTAAGTATGTGATCAAGGCAACCGTTGTAGTCAATTGTTTACTTACCACAGACTCACAACGGCATCATATGCATGGTGAATGCACCAATATTTAGCTTATTGATAAGTATTGAGTGAATGGTTCTAAATCAATGTACCATCGATCAATTCCATGGGATGGATTGCAGTCCTCCAACATGACATCAAAGTGCTCAAGCGCTAGCACCTCAGGAGGCCACATTCATGCATGATCAATAAGCATGTAATATTCCCAAGAACCAGAAATTTAGAACCCAAATTTGGGACCCAACTCCAGCAGCCATGGCTGTGCCAGGTCCGTGAAGCTATGCAAAGCACCCGACCGGCTTGGATCAAAATTTGCTACCACGGAAAAGCGGTCAATGCGCAGATGGTGCAAGAGGAATGATCTGTGATTAGCCCAAGACTTAAAACCACATTAGCTAATGTTGAAGCCATGTTTAGGGGGTTCATAATCAAATTCAATTAATGATATTTCTTACTAAATCAATTTAAATGATACCCCAAGCTATCACAGATCATCTTATGGTTCAGTCAGTGCAGCTGATCATCCATGTAATGATTTTTATACATTATTATGATCAGTGAACATATAAATCAATATAGATGTTCCATATTATCAAACTATACAACTAAAATCATGTACATGGATGATCACAATGATCGCAATGATACTTACAGACTACAGCATTGCCAGAGCCACATATATTATAACCACATATACTTAATAAAAAAAACATTAATAGAGTTATAGCCAAACCAGGCCCATGGCAATGCAGTAGGCCATAACCATGCAAGGCACTGCAAGGAGGCTGGGTACTGTCGTTGTGCCTCTTCGAAGAACCCCACTCGCCTCAAGTGAAATGATCTGGGTGAGGTATGGTGAGGTGCTAAGTTGGTTGTAAGTTCTGGACCGGCAATCAAAGCCCGCTTCATCGCTATCCAAAGTGACCTGAGGATGAGTTACAACCGAAGTAAGGGAATACTTATATGGTCAAGATTAACAATGAACATCTCTACCACCAATGTATGGCATAATCTGTTACTATCAGGTGAACTCAGAATAAATAAGTCATGCTTTATAATGTCAGACTATGCCAGCCATTGGTGGATTGAAGGCTCATTCATTTTGAGGCCCCTGCCATGAAAGGCACACAGCCCAACTAACGGTAAAGAAGAAGTAAAATGGCTGCGATGATTCACCCCCTATTCACCCTCATGACATGATCCATTATCCTATCAGAAATCACATCATTCGAGACATTTCAAGACCATGAATTCGAGAATGTAGTCTTGAGAAGCTATCATGCCAATGTAGGCTTCACAAGCCAACATATTGATGTAAGCTTATTTTGCCTACAGAGATTCTTTGGGTAGGATAATTAACAAAATCAAAGGACTGGACCCTGGAGGCTTTAGCAATAATTAGGATAATTAGGATAATTAGCCTTCCAAAGGCTCTCTGGGAGGCTAATTATCCTCATTATCCTAATTAATTAGGATAATTAGGATAATTAGGCTTCCAAAGGCTCTCCGGGAGGCTAATTATCTTAATTATCCTCATTAATTAGGATAATTAGGATAATTAGGATAATGAGGATAATTAGGATAATTAACAAAATCAAAGGTCTGGACCCTGGAGGCTTTAGCAATAATTAGGATAATTAGGATAATTAGCCTTCCAAAGGCTCTCTGGGAGGCTAATTATCCTAATTATCCTAATTAATTACGATAATTAGGATAATTAGGCTTCCAAAGGCTCTCCGGGAGGCTAATTATCCTAATCATCCTAATTAATTAGGATAATTAGGATAACTAGGCTTCCAAAGGCTCTCCGGGAGGCTAATTATCCTAATCATCCTAATTAATTAGGATAATTAGGATAATTAGCCTTCCAAAGGCTCTCCGGGAGGCTTATTATCCTAATCATCCTAATTAATTAGGATAATTAGGATAATTAGCCTTTCAAAGGCTCTAATTACCTTGAATGTGGGACTTGCCCAAATGAACCCTGTTTTTCCATCATACGGGCGCGCCCCTGCCGCCGACCGTCCCCTAAAATCCTTCAGCCTGCTTGGGTTTTCACGTTTTTGGGGGTTCGGGGTGGGAAAAAAGAGGGTAAAATTTGAAGATGCGTTTCGGAAGTCCTTGTTGGGCGTTTTTTGGTCGATTTTTGGTCAATTTTTCCTGTTTTTTTGGTACTGTCCACGCGTAAAAATCGTGTAATTTACAATATTTTTGTGCCTTTGGCATCCAAAAAAAATTTCTGACAACATGCAGGAAACTGCGTAAATACCAGTGTTTTTGCTAGGCCCGGGCCACAAAACACTGTAAAGACCGT